GGAAATCAATAAATGTTATTCACCACATCAATAGACTTAAAGATAAGAACCATATGATCATCTCGTTAGATGCAGAAAAAGCATTTGACAAAGTACAGCATCTCTTCATGTTCAAAACTCTAGAAAAACTAGGGATAACAGGAACTTACCTCAACATTGTAAAAGCTATCTATGCTAAGCCTCTATGTTATAGAGGCTGGCTTTGAAATTTCAATCCTCCTACCTCAGCCTCCCATCTTCTGGGATTAAAGGCAGGCACTGCTCAGTTGTGTCTCACACTTGTTTTGGATCCATTCTTATCATCTGCCTTCTCCTGGTGCAGTTGACTAGGGATGGTTTGGTGTGTGGTGTTGAGTTTCACTCCAGATGCACTCCATTGCATCTTTTCCTTGTTGCATCTCTAGCTGTGACTAGTGAGACTGACCCTGGCCATTGAGTTCCATAGTGTGAAGGAGTGGAGTTCTCTGCTTGTCGAGAGAGTGGGGAGCCTCTGGTGTTACTGTGGTGTGATGCAGACAGAAGGGTCTGTGGGTCATGCCTCTCTACTTCCTCCTGCAGTTGGTAGGGAAGGGCCTACCACCAGATGAGTTTTCCATGAGCTCTGATGACATTGGTTTTGTCCCTTAAAATCTCATTTTGGGCCATATATGTGTAAGCAATTATCCAGACCACTCCTCTGTGAAATTGGAATGCTTATGTCAGAAAATAAAAGAGGTGACTCAAGATGCCAATTCTGTGCCCAAAAGAGACTGAAAATAAAAGTGTTGCCATAAATAGTGGGCCCAGTTTGAGGGCTATATTGTCTTGAGGATTGGCAATGAACTTCACCTAAATGTCCAAGACTGGTAGAAAATTGAATGAAAAGGGGCTCAGAAGCACCTTGAGGGTGACTATTGGGAGACAGATTCCCCAGGTAGAGTATAGGTGACTCCTTTCAATGTAATTATGTTCTCACTTTTGTCTCCACATAAGCTTTATTCACCTGGTGAATAAATCTTGAGAACTTTGGAAACTGTGTGATGCCTGGAGACCTCTATCAACATGGATCACAGAAAAGATGACTCACACCCTAAAATGGAGGTAGGGAAAGAGCTGGGTAGGCAGATGGGAGACTTGGGCCCACCAAGGTCAGGTTTCTCCTAACAGAAAGACCACCGTGGAACAGAATACAAATACCACAGATGTAAGGCTGAGCTTCAAAGAAAGGGTGAGACATCTGTCATCCAGAGCCTAGACCTTTCTGAAAAGGGACAAACTTCAACACCATGACCTTAACCTGAATGGAAGAAAGGGCACATGAAGAGCACATTGTCACTGAATGCCTTACCCAGGAGTGGGCTGGAGGTGATTTTCTTAACCCTTAGATCCTTATAAAACCTGAGACAATTGCCACTCATTGGCAACCCTCCCTTGGGACCCCACCCATGCAGGAGTTCTGCTTTCTTTATATTGTTTTATAAATTCTGACACTTTGCCCTCACCCTTCCACTATTTGTGTCTGAAATTCTTTTAATGGATTAACAAGGCAAAGAACCCACTCAACTCCATGGTGTTACAAAATAACTGTAGACTAATTATGTCAGGAAACTAGACTGATGTGGGAAGTGATATTACCTACTGCCCATCTCCATATCCTCTCTGTCCCCAGAATGGGGCTGCAGTTGAACCCTTATGAGATCACACAGGGAAGACCCTTTCAGACCTCACTAAGAAGAATGCATTTTCCACCTTGAAAATGTGAAGGCAGAACCCAATATTCTGTACAGCTGCTGAAATTAATTCTGACCTCCATGCAGGAATTTCCTTCTTCTAGGACAACACCCTCCCCTCAGGACCCTTCTCAGACATTCTAGGCAGCAGACTCAATCCTGCTTATGACATAGAAAAATCAGAGATCAGAAGCGCAACTCATGGATAAGTGGACAGGCCCTCATGAAGTACTCCTCATTGCTCAGACATTCATAAACCTCATTCACCACATCTGAGGAGGAAAGACACCACCAGAAGATAATTTGCCCTACTCATCCTGGGAACCCACAGTCCCTGGTTAGCTGACCACCCCTCTATAAATCTCACATGTCTGTTCAGGAGACAACCCTAGATGGACTACATCAAGCTTTCATGTGTTCAATGATTGTTCCTCTTGACCTTCTCTATCCCTCCCTAAAACCAGGTCAGAGACCTTTCCACCTGGTTACAGATTGGGCTCTCAGTTTCTGATCTCCATCATCAGGTGGATGGTTGGGACTGTGGAGAGCTCCCTCTGCTGGACACTAACTAATTTGGAAAATTCAGGCAGCCAATCAAAGTACATGGCAGCAGGTCCCTAACTGGCTCAGATCAAGGGGGAATGCTGCCATGCTCAACCAAAAATGCCTCCTTCCCCCTTCTAACCAGGATATTCCTGAGATGTTCAAAATCAAGGCTGAGAAGAGAAAACCTGTCTCTTCTAGAAAGAGAAGGATTCGACACCACTCCAGACAAAGGCCATGGAGTAGGTGATGGAGCCAGATGGCTACTGGCAGGAGAAGCTGAATGGGTGAGAGATCCACCTCATGTATTGGTGCCCTACATGACTTTTGTGGGACTCCCAACCGAGTACATTGGGCTCCCCCAAACATGTAGAATTCAACCATCACTCTGAAGGAGACCATGTGTCTTGGCCTATAGATGCATTCTTGGAAAATGAAGCATCCCCTTTTCTGGCCTATTCAAAAATATTTCTTGAGTTGAAGGGATGCTGGCCCCTGATCTCTTGCCCCCACTGTAAGTGTAAAGGGAAGACTCACACTTGCTGTACAAGCTGCCACCTATCACCCCCTTCCTTGGTCTTGAAGGGTCTGCATCATCTGTCACATCCACCAGGGGCCCCACTGCCCGCATTTTGCCCTTTCTGAGGTGGCCTCTTCCTTTTGATCCTTTGTGCAGTTTGTGAATCTTGGGCCAATCACCATCATGGACATCTTCTACAGAGAGTGCAGGCCTGGCATCAGAACACCTGGGCAGGAAGAACAAGAAAACTCACTTTTTTTTGAACCTAGGGAAAAATTAATTCAAAGGATTAACATATTCTTGAGGCTTTGGTGTCATTCTGCTTTGACAAAGGAGGGGTGCCCCCTGAGTATATCTCCCCACTTTCTAGCATTGGGATGGTAGTAGAGTGTTTTCTGTGTGAACAAAAAAACTTTATCAGATGTTAGTGATAAGGAAAAATTGAAAGGTTTTCAATTTGTGGACCAATGCATGTGGAGCTCTGTGGTCATCATCCCCATGCTCACAGCCCTCCCAGGGAAGTCTAAACTGAAAAGACTATAGCTCTCAGCCTCAGAATGGATGGAGGTCCAAGGGCCAACCACTGCTCCTGAAATTGGGTCGTTGGAAATTCATACCATCAGCTTAACTGAGCAGGGGCCTCTGCTGGAGACTGTAGCTGGGTAGGAAAGCTGACACTGTCACTGTTGAATGGATGGAGGTGCAGTGTGGTCCCACTATAAAACTAAAAGGCCCTAAGGGAAGAACCAATCTCCTGGAGCTCCTCACACTTCCACACATCTCCCTCCAGTTACCACACCAGCTGCTCAGGAGGAAGGTCAGACAAAGCTTCCCCCATGTTTCCAGTGGGGATAGAGGAAACTGAGGCATTGGCTTCTAGGTCCACCTGGATCCATTCTCATTTCATGAACAGAACATCTACCCTTGGAAGAAACCATTTGAGCACAGCCTAACCAGCCTGGGTTCCCACAGAGTCTCCCTGGCCTGGGGGAAGAGAAAGCTCCAAATCTATCCCCTTCTGGCCTTTTATTGGGGAGAATGGAAATATCTACCTCCAGTTCCCTCTGCACTTCCAGTCACATCTGAAGAGGAGGAATGAGAAGGACTTGAGAAAGTCACAGCCCAGGGTCTCAGGCTCACTTACTGACTGATCTTAGGATGAAAGAAGGCTTTCTCCCTCCATACCTCACCCTGCAACTCTAGGACCTTCATATACTAATGGCAGTTTTCACAAGACGGAATTGTAAGACTCAGACCTTATGAAGATATCCCTAGGAAAACCAAAGTCACAAGCCCTTAAAAAATACAGCTCATCATCACACCACAACTCTGAACCAATAAAATATAAAGTAGCTCTAGAGGCCTACAGGCCTCAGTTCCTTTTCCCCAGTACATCATGTCCACAGCAGGACTAAATGTGAATAGTGCACTAACAAAAGGGCATCATTTGAAGAGACAGAGGCAGCACTACATCCTGAAACATGCAGTGAAGAGAGCCTTGGACAACTGAGAAAGAGAAACAACTATGGTTACTATGTAGGGCTCTAAAGGACACATAGGGTACATGTGATATGAACAGAGAGAATGTGCAGTGTGGATAGAGCAAGCCTGGGAGCCAGGTTCTGATTTGGCAGAAATATTGCAATAGTAAGGCCAGGACTTTAAAATCACTTATGATAAATATGTGCCTGTATCCAAAGTGAAAGACAGCGTGCAAGAACTGATGAGGAATGGAAAGGGGACAGGGAAAACTCTAGTGAGAATACAAACATGAAGGTTAGTGTTAATAATGTCCTCACTGGAGAGGGCTTCTGCATAGACTGGGCAGTGGCCAAGTGAACTGAACAAACTGAACAAACTCTGAGAATACAGAGAAGCAATACAGAAACCTGCCAGAGCAGGTGAACAAAGGATTGCACTAAGTTTCCAAAATCACCCCAGAATCCTGCCCCTGTGAATTACAGTGAATGAGCTCCCAAACATACAGAGCGTCCTAGCAGAATTTATCACCCAGAGGGAAGAACCAGTGAGGTCCAACACAGTTCACTGAAACGCCAAAGAGAGGAGAAACAGAGGAAGAAAATGAAGTAGGAATAAAGAAAGAGTAGGAGACTTGGGGAAGCAACATGAAGGGCTATCTCTTAAGATAAATAGGTTCTCTTCTCAGCAAATGTTAAAACTACACTGAAACTACCAGAGTATAAGAACAGTAGTGAATAAACTGGCCATATTTCAATGTGGAAAACAAAGTAGAAAGTCTTCATGATCATTAGAACCCTATGCATGTTACATTACCAAAATCATTGATACAAAGCATGCATGCTAAACAATTTCCACAACAGAGTTCTCTTACTCTTCAATAATCTGCTTGTGTCCATCAGAAAGATGCTGCATCCTTAATAACTTCTTGCCACAGTCCCTCTAATGACTATAAGTGAACTGAAGGACAAAATACCTGAATAAAAATGAGCCTGATCTCAAAGTCCATAAAGCAACTGATGAGCAGTAAGAAGAGCCTCCTGGACCCACCTGTGCCAACCATGGCTAAAAAGCCTCCTTTTAAAAGGAGAAACAGACTACAACAACATTCAGAAGAGTGGTGACATGTTGTATAATAGAATACATATGCTGGATTTCTAAATACCTGTCCTTGCTCCTCAATCACCATAGAATACACTAACATGATTATTCTGCACCTATTTTATAAATTCCATGAGGGAAAATTAATACTACTACCAAAAGTGGGGGTGGGGGGAATGCAGTGCCAAGGAGGAGCTCTTGATTGTGTCATCACCTCTAGGATTCCAGTTCTCCTTTAGCTTGACTTCCATCTCTTCACAATTCTACCAGGACACTTAATTTACTGAGAGCCATGTTGCCTGCCCCAGAAGGCTGATCCTTGTAAAGACTAGTGTTTGAGTTCCTTCTAGGTCTTCCTCCTATTTCATCATACAAATACCTTGGGGCCATTTTTCTACATTAAAGGGTAGGCTGATTGACAAGCCTCCCTCACCAAAACAACAACAACAACAACAACAACAACAACAACAAAACCCCAAAAAACAAAAACAAAAACAAAAACAAAAACCCAACCATACAAACAAACAAACAAAAAACAGTGGTTTCCATGTGAAATGTGATATGGAACAGTTTTTGAAAGCTGTTCCATTCCCTTAATGACTGGCTGTCTCAGTTGTTGGGGTTAGGATCAAAATGAGATTTCCTGGAAATCTTTTTGATTTCCCCAGATTTTTACTGCTGCAGTATGTCTCAGCTCCCACTCCCTCCAATCCCTACCCCTGGCTTTATAAATTTGGAATGTGTTCCATCCCTTTGTATTTCATGGAGTAATTTGAGGAGTTTTGGCATCAGTTCTCCTTTAAAGGTTTTTGGTAGACCTCAGCTGGGAGTCCATCCAGCCCTGGGTTTTTCTTTGTTAGAGACAGTAATGAAAAGCCTTCCATCTCATTACAAGTCATTGGTCTGTTTGGGTTGTCTTTTGCTCTTGATTCAGTTTTGGTAGATCCTACTTATCTAGAAATGTATTCATTTCTTCTAGGTTTTCCAATGTATTGGCATACAAATTTCAAAATAGTCTCTAATGATCCGCTGGATTTCTGTGATATCTATGGTGATTTCACCTTTTTAATCTCTAATTTTATAAACTTGGCTTTTCTCTTGGTTATTTTAGCATGGGGGCTTATCAATCTTGTTTACCTTTTCAAAGAAACACTGTTTCATTGGTCCTTAATGTTGTTATTTTTTATTCTCAAGTTCATTAATGTTGGCTCTGATCTTATTTCCTTCCTTCCTTCAGTGTTTGTTCCTCCACCATAGCCTGGATTTTACACCATTTCCCATTTACAAGGTGCACGATGTGGGCTTCCTCAGTAGAGGGTGCTGAAGTGACACTGCAGGAACCAGAGACCTCCGAGGTTACGCTATTGCACCATTGCTCTGTGATGCTGGTATGAGTCCATGTGAGGGCAGTGTGGATCAGGTGAGGGGATTCTCAGATCCTGAGGAAGGCTTTGGTCTCCAGGAAAATTTCCAACACTTTCCAAGCTGATCTTAGGTGATAGTGCCCTCCTAGTGAATGGGCTTACTGTAGTGGGAGGTACTGACTCTGAGTTCAGTCCCTGGCTCTACCCATGCCCACCTGAGTGGTAGCACACCAACCACACTGCCTTTACCAGGCGCATATTCCCAAGGGTCCCTTATCCCTTTCTGTTCAGAGGAAGCTGTGAGAGCCATGGCTGCTGCTCATATTCCCAAGGGTCCCTTATCCCTTTCTGTTCAGAGGAAGCTGTGAGAGCCATGGCTGCTGCTCATATTCCCAAGGGTCCCTTATCCCTTTCTGTTCAGAGGAAGCTGTGAGAGCCATGGCTGCTGCTCCCTCAGGTAAGGAAGGTCCAGGTGGGCTGGGGGCAGGACATCCCTGGATGCCCCTACCATGTGGTCACCCATGCCCACTGGCTTGTCCCTCAGGGTAAAGACCTGGAACAAGGCAAAAGCTGCTGCAGACTACTGAAGATGCTGCAGATCTTGAAGAAAAAGGTAGGTGCAGGACGCACATCTGGGAAGGCACAGGCAGCTTGGGTGGGGGCAATGGCTCCTGGAGGGCTGCTGCTTGTGACAGGGGTTGCCACATTATAGGCAGGCTCACCCAGGATGAGCATCTATCTCTGGCGGGCTGGAAGTATGATCCATGAGATTAGGATTCTGGGTCTGGAGGTGTGGGTGTACCTGTGGTGTCTTTAAGCTGTGTGCAGGGGTGGGTGCAGTGTGAAGATCCTCCAGGTTGGGGGCATACTTTGAGGTGCCTGAGTGGGACCTCATCTTGTGCAGGAACAGCTGTGTAGGTCTCAGTGAGGGGACCTTAAAGGAGAGACAAGCTCCTGGGAACAGGTAGGCCTGTTTGGGGAGGTCAATGTTGAGTGGGCCTGACAAAGAGGGCCCAGCCTTCAGCAAAGGAGAGAGGTTCAGTTTGGAGACAAAAAGATGCCCTCCTGCACCCACACATTCCCAGTCCCCAGAGCTACTACCAGGAGACAGAGGCCACTTCTTGGGGGTTGCAGGTCAGGGTCTGTGGACTGCTCCTTTGGCAGGCAGGGTCCTCTCATCCTAACCACCTTACACAGGAGAATGACAGACAGACACCTGCTGACCTTTACTGTCCCTTGGGCCACCCTGGAGATTAGTCCAGCCTCTGTATTTATAGCCAGT